ATGGAGGGGTTGAAGGGAGGGCAGAGGAAGTGGGAAAAAATAAGAACCAAGAGAGTATGTAAAGGTGCATATCTCCAATGATGAATATCATTATATTATACACCTAAAATATACCAATAAAAGCATATACAAAAAAGTTTTATAATTTTAGCTCTTATATTTAGTTTTATGATCTATTTCTTGAATTGCTGAATGAAGTAATACTTCTTTTTTTTGCATATAGACCATCTCATATCTTATTGTCATAGCACAGACTTTGTATGATTTCAAGTCTTTTATATTGTTGATACGTTTATGGCTTGGAATATGATCTGTCTCAGTGAATCTGCATGTACACCTGTATAGCATGTGCATTCTGCTGTTTTTGGTAGAGTATTTAATAAATGTCAATTAGATCAAAATAGTTGATAAACATTTTTCATGTCTTGGGTTTTCTCTTTATTGTTGGTGTTCTGCAATTTCTTTATATTGTTTCTGAGAGTGTTTCTTTTTATCTAAGTCATTTGGAGGATTCCTCAGGCTTGATTCTGGATTTCTATTTCTCATCTGTTTTAGAAAACTGTCAGCCATACATCATGAAATATTCTTCTGTCTCATGTACTCTGCCCTCTTTCTGAAATTCCAATTAGATATACATTAGATCTCTTTGTATTTCCTATGTCTCTTTCCTGTTGTTTTTTCTTTCATCTCTCAGTGATGCTGTCTAGATAATCTCTTCAGATCAACAAAGAAATCATCAACTGTTAAACCCATTCATAATACTTTAACTTCAGTTAATGTATCTTCACTTTCTGGATATCCAACTTCATTTTTCTTCACATTTGTTTGGTGATTCTTTATAGTTTGTTTCTCATAATAACAAGATTGCCTTTCACTTTATTAATTGTATTAGCATTATTTTATACTCTATGGCTAATAGTTCAAATATCAAGTCTTGTAGGATCCAGTTATGATATCAATAATGATTTTCACTAGTTTGGTAATTACTTTTTACTGTGAATTGCTAATTTTCCTTGCAATTTTAAGATTATTCTCTAACTCTGGGATAAAAGTGTAGAGATCAGGCCAGGGATTTAGCTTAGTGGTTCTGCCACCTGCCCCACAAGCACAAGGACCTGAGTTCAATCCCTGGTACCAAAAAACCCCCCAAAATTGTAGAGATCAACATTTGTTTCTTCCAGGCACTTGACAGCAATTATCAGCCTGGACCCACTTCAAACTAAATTTTCAGCAAGATTTTATTTTCTATATTCAAGTAGAATGAACTTAGGTTGCAAACACATTGACAAACTGCTTGTTATGAATCCTTAGAGAGGCTTCTTTTTCTGTTCATTCAGCACCAAGATAGGAGAGAAGTAATTTTCTTTACAGTATTTGCAAGAGAATAGAAAGATTTTAGATGGTTTTATCTCTAGGTCATCTTAAATATGGGCCTTTAAATCTTTTGGAGCCTCAGCTTTAAAAGGGAGACAATCTTATTGGACATCAATTTTGAATAGGCTCTTAGCTTAGCCACTGGCAGTACAGGTCCTCAAAATTCATGCTTTACCATTCAGTAGATGCTCCTAGGATAGAAGCTACATTAAACCTACCTGGATTTCTGCCCTCATTTGAGTGTACATGTTTTGCTTACCTGTCTCATAGTCAGATGATTAAGGTTAAAATTATACATACTTTATATTCACTCTTATTCATGTGCAATCTCTGAGTTTTCACCAACATATCTAGTCACACAACCATCACCACAATTAACATAAAATAGTTCTCTATTCATCTGGTGTTTGGCCTATTTATACTTTTCTGCTAGATCTTCAGTACATTTTAAAAGAATTTTTAAAGATCTGTCCAGCATCTTTATTTTTTTTTAGTTGGACAACTATAATTGAAGTACATAGTTTACCATGCTGTCAGGAACTAATTGTAACTCCCTGACATTTTATATATTTACTCATCCTTTTTTAAATTCAGTGTCTATCTTCCCTAATAGAATGTACATTTATGAGAGAAGGGACTAATCAGTTTTGCTCACTGCTGTACCCTTGGCATCTAAACCCATTTTTAGAAATGGTAGGTATTCAATAAATATCTGTAGCTGAATTAACAAGGATACAGGCTCTGAAGAAATTAAAGTAAGATAAGTGGATAAAAAGTAACAACATAACTCAAATTTTTCACATATTTACCATACTTGACTGGGGCTGCAATACCAGTCTCGCTTGTTTCTTTCTTTGTTTTCGGTAATAATTTTCAAACGTTTCTTCATCACCCTAAAATAAAATCAACAGAGTAATGAAAAATGCGCGCGCGTGCACACACACACACACACACACACACACACATAGATAATGTACACACTGCTAAAACAGGTATTTACTTATTCCTAAGAGTCATTTTAAATTTTCTTACTGGAATATAAATGCTGAATGGCATTTCATAATTGAACATCAAGAAAACATTATTGGCATTATAGTTCAAAGATAGCAACTTGAAGGCTGGGCCTGGTGCCTGTAATCCTAGCACTAGGGAGGCTGAGGCAGGAATACACCATGAGTTTGAGGCCAGCCTGGGTTACACAGTGAGTTCAAAGCCAGCTTGAACTACATAGCAAGACCCTGTCTCAAAACAACAACAACAGTAACTTCATCAGTATCATAACCATTAAGAAGAATAAAGATAAATTCAAGTAATTTGACATTTACCCAAGTTATCACTTAAGATTTATAGATTTTTGACTAACCAAACAAAAATGTGGCTGTCAGTGAGGGAAAACAAAAGAAATTAGCTGTCAAAACTAAACTTCTGAACATGTTACACCATGCCCTTCATGATCTGATATCTTATTTCATCTCTGGCCTCATCTCTCAGTATATCCAATATACCATAATTCTCAGTATATCCAATATACCATAACTCTCAGTATATCCAATAAACTATTCTACTTTCACTTCCAGGCTTTTGTACAAGCTACTCCTGAAATATATTTCCCAGTTTGCTTTCTCTATAGGAGTTTTACTCATCCTTCAAAACTTGCCATAGATGTTACTTTCTTCAGAAAGCTCTAATTTCTAAAGGCTTACTTTGTTATCCCATAGCAACCTGTACTTCCCTGTCATAGCACTTACACTCTGTTGCATTCCTGATTACTAATCTATCTCTTTGTGAACCACTAGAGCTTTCTATGATAATGGAATTTTTTTATGTCTACACTGTCAAATACGGTAACCACTAGTTATATGCGGCAACTGAGTATTTGAAATGATGCTTACAGGACTGAGACACTGAATTGCTTAATTTTAATTAATTTAATTTTAAGTAGCCAAATATAGCTAGAAGATCCCATACAACAACTTGCCTCTAGATGGTCCATGTCCATCTAGGTCACTAATATAACCTCATAATTAGCAGAATGCTTAAACAGTATTTGTTGAATGAATGACTTAGCAAATAAATTAATAACTATATCCATCCTATTTAAAGAAGCTGCTGCTCAGATTCAAAAGGAAAAGTTAGGACTGTGTTCCCCTATGCATTCAGGGCTCCAAAGAGAAGCCAAAAGTAAAAAAATTAAAAATAGGGGAAAAAAATCAAAATCATACCTTCCATGAAAAAAATTCCAATTTTATTTTCTTTATATTTAAGTAGCTACCAAAAAACATGACTTTCCTTAATGCTGTTTAAATAGGAAGAAAAGGGGCAAAGGGGAAGGGGAAGTGGGAGGGGTAGGGGAAAAGAAAGAAGGGATAGGAATTAATATGAGAAAATGAAAAAATGGAAACAAAATCTTTGTAAATAGGGATGGATGGAGGGGTTGAAGGGAGGGCAAGGGAAGGGGGAAAAATAAGAACCAAGAGAGATCATGTAAAGGTGCAAATTTCCAATGATGAATGTCATTATATTGTATACCTAAAACAGACCAAGGAAATAAAATTTAAAAAAAATAAAAAATAAACTCATACTACAGAAAATATTTTTACATAAGCACCTTTAGAAAAGTTTTATATAAGGATCCTCTAGGAAAGTGTGTGTGTGTGTGCATGTGTGTGTGTTGTATTCAACTAAAAGAATTTCAAGATAACTATGGTCCTTCTCATACAATATTAATATAGTAACTAAATTCTTTCACCATGAGTGTATGTAAAAACAAAGGATCTAATATCAAATAAAAACATTGGAATTTTAAAATAAAATTGTTATAATCTTATCTAAACATATCCAAACCATCATTCACTTTTAAAATATATGAATATAATCTCTTATCATTTAGAAATTTTATTTCTATTCCTTTTTCTTTTTGAACTCATACTTTCAAAGCACTGCCCTTACAGAATTTTTTCTAATTTAATGTATGTATTAGCTTTTCTGTCACTGAGGCAAAATACGCAATACCTGCAACTTAAAGGAAGAGAAGATTATTATAGCTCACAGCTTCAATGGGTTCAGTTCATGATATGCTAGCTCCAAGGAAGAAATAGCATGGTGGGCCGGGGATTTAGCTCAGGGGTTTCGCCACCTGCTGCACAAGCACAAGGACCTGAGTTTAATCCCCGGTACCAAAAAACAAACAAACAAACAAACAAAAAACAAACAAATATCATGGTAAAAGGGCATGGAGAATGAAAACTGCTCATAGCCTAGTGGCCAGGAAGCAAAGAGAGAAGGGAGCCAAGACAAGAATATACCCTTTCAGATCATGCCCCCAGCAGCCAGCCTCTTCTGACCAGGCCTCACCTTTGAATACCAAAGTTAGCTGTAAGCTCATCACTGGATTAATCTGTTGATGAGTATAGTGCCCCCATAATACAATCACCTTCCAAAACTCCACCTCTGAACATGAGACTTTTGAGGGAAATTTTAGATCTGAACCATAACAATATTTTTCAAATGTTTTATTTTCTTTTCTTTTTTTTTTTTTTTTTTTTTTGGTACCAGAGATCGAACTCAGGTCCTTGCACTTGTGCAGCAGGCGGCAAAACCACTGAGCTAAATCCCCGGCCCATTTTCTAATGTAGTGTTTTTATGTTGATTTTATTTCTGATAGCATAAGGCTTTAGGTATTAAAGTGTTCTCTTCTACATTAAATTATTATAATTAGTACTTACCTGAACCAAACAACACAAGTATTTAGTACATTTTGATAATAAGTAAATCAAAAAGTAAACATACTGAAAATGAGCATCTTTTTTTATGTTATTTCCTGAAAATGAATATCTTACTAAGGCTAGCCCTTCCAATACTTCATTCATAATTTATTTTTTCATTTAAAAACTTGAGGGCTGGGGATTTAGCTCAGTGGTTTCACCGCCTGCTGCACAAGCGCAAGGACCCGAGTTCGATCCCTGGCACCAAAAAAAAATTAAAAAATAAATAAAATTCAGCTTCACAACCCTGCATCACTTTGGCTAAAGGTATTTTTCTTTACATCAAATGACAAATCCTTAGGAAGAATATTAAGATTGGCCAAAATCATTGTTTACATGTAAACATAAAGGGCACAGTTTTAGCATTTAAATTTTTCTGTGTTCTCTTTGCTATACTCTCAGAGGAGTCCACATATTTGGTTTTTACTTGTTTTTGTTTTGTTTTGATAGTGCTGAGATTAAACAAAGGATTGTATGCATGATAGGCAAGTGTTCGACCAATATCCCTACCCCAGAACTCCCTTTTAAAAGCAATATATTTGTTGTCCAAACTTGGGGATAAAACAAATCAGATCACTAAAAAGAAACTATCCCATTACTCAAAACTGTCATTATTCCTCAAAATTTATGTGCACTAAGAGCATCCTACCACCGGACAAATTACACTATTTCTAACATGATTTACCCTTAACTAATCTGTGTAAGAAGATTAAAAAGGAACTCATAAACATACAGTTCTTTGATTAATTGTTAAAGAATACCTCTTTCTTTGGGACTCTGGAAGGTTTTTGCACATCAAGATAACAAAGCAAGGAGACACCGAATCACCCCGCTGCAGACAGGCAGCCATCTGGTTCCACACTACAAAGAGGCAGAGGACACTAGACCACCAGACCAAGGTACTGAGTCCCACTGTTCCCGGCCCAGAGGTAGGGGCTTCTGAGTCATCGTTCCACTGCTCCTGGTCAGGAGGAAGGGGCTTCCCGGTCACCATCCCTCCGCTCCTCCCAGCCCAGAGGAAAGGGCTTTTGGGCCACCTTCTGTCACGCTGCTCCTGGCCCAGAGGAAGGGGCTTCCAGGCCACCATCCCTCCCACCACTCCCAGCCCAGAAGGAGGGGCTTCT